AATTTTTGCGTCTATACTACCAATCGTTTAGCAAATACGATACCAACAAAACATTTTACTTCAACGCCGGCGTACGCCCGGTGCTCGACATTGTATACAAATGGCCAAAACTTATACACCGTATGACCGGCCAGTTCGGTGTCCGACCCGACATATGTCGCTATCTGTATACGAGTTTTGATCGCCAAAACTGGGAGTCCGTCAATGACACCGATACCGACCAAAGCACCGGTAGTTACTATTATTCGGCACATCTGCTCATCCGAGGCAACGATTTCTATGAAAACGGCCGCAAATGGTGTCTACCGGACATCACACCGGCGGTTGTCTGGTATGACGAACAGGTTGTCCGTACGGTTAACAATACGTTTGCCGCAATGTACTGGACTTTGAACGCCGACTATTGAATGGACAATAATTATAATTAAAAATTTAATTAATTAATTAAATTAATAATTAAATTAATTAATTAAATTAATAATTAAATTAATTAATTAAATTAATTATTAAATTAATTATTAAATTAATTAATTAAATTAATAATTAAATTAACAATTAAATTAATAATAATAAATTGAAAATATTTTTTTAATTATTATTATTATTATTTTAGTTTCGTATTTAAATATAATTGACAAACAATTTAATGTATTTTATTTATTTTTTTCTGTTTATTTTGTTTAATGATAAATTTAAATATTTTAAAAAAATTTTATTTAACAATAAAAAATTATTATTATTATTATTATTATCAAGAAAACACTTTAAGATAATAGTTTTGTCTGTATTTGTCTGTACCATATTTTAATTCAAATCTAAAAACATATTATTGTATTTACTGTTAAATGTGAATTTATTTACTAATCTCTAAACTAATTTAAATAAATAAATAAATATTACTAAATTTTACAGTATAATAGTTTTAAAAGTATAAAAAATAATTATTTTAATTTTAATTTATTAATAAAAATTTATTTTTTTTAATAATTATCATTATTACTAATTAATTATGTCTTAATTAAAAAAATACAACTTATAATATATAATATAATTAATTTTTTTATCTATATTTACTATCATATAAATTTATTTTAATGACTAAAATACATAAATAATATTTATTACTATAATATATGAATATATTTAAAAAAAAAAAAAATCTTATTATATATTAGTGTATATTAATAATCCAAAAATAAAATTCTGAAACTTTCCAATAGTTAATATATATTTTTAACTAATTAAGTTAATTATATATTTAAAACTTTGTTAGCGCAATCCTATCCAAAAATTAAAACAAAAAATAATAATTATTAAATACATATTAATTATATAAAAGATATATTAGACACAATATCAAAATTTATACTTGGTGAATTTAGTTTTAAACATTTAATTTTGTTGTTTAACTAATTAAATGTTTAAAAAAAATATATTTTATATTATAACAAAACAATTAATAAATCAATAATAATAATACTTACAAAAAATAATTTTGAAATTTTCTGAAATTGTTCATTAGTTTCATTGATATCACTAAACAATAACATAATATCATTATTATATTGCATAAATTGACCATGACAATTTTGAAATTTCTGGGAACATTCACTTAATAGATAACGTTTGACACTCAGGTCAGTCATATTCACGTTGGTATAGGCGCTCAGTTGATCGTCCATACCGTCCATACATTTGTTGGCTAGTTTTTGATACTATTTTTTATGTATTTAATTAATTAATTAATTAATTAAATAATTTAAAAAAAAACACAAATTAATAGTAATAAACAAAAACAAAATTAACAATTAATTAATTTTTAAATACATATATATTAATTTTTTTTATAATTAAAATAATTATTATAACTAAAATATTTTTTTTTAAATTATAAGCAAATTAATAAAATTTAACATTTAATTTAATTGAATTTATTATAATTAAATTATTTTATTTTTTCCCGGATTAATTTAATCTAATATTTCTATAAATATTTATACATATTATTAGTATATATATATACAGTAAATATAATTAATTATATCCTAATATTTTATGTTTGTTAAAAAAAATTTTTACAACAAAAATCTTAGATATAATACTTTATTTTTTTAGTTTTAAATATATTTTTAATAATAATCAAAAATTTACTTACAATTAGATAGTATTTTTTCAGACTATCAGATCCGATACTAATCGACTTTTTCTGGCATTTGATAACTTTCCTAACGGTTTGGGTATCGGTATGTAATGGCATACACAGTCCGGACCGAAATGTTTCATACATATCGTATGTATCGGTATTATCGTAAATATTAGTACTACT